GGACTGTCAGGGTCTCTCTCTTGGCAGCCTGGAAAAAATCCTCCCCCCTCCCTCTCTCTCCAGATTTTTTTTTAAAAAAATTTACTGGATAAATGAGAAAGATCAAGAAAGGCTTATTGTTCAGGCGACAAGAGAAGAAGTTTGGTGTGAATGAAATGATTGACTAATTAAACTCCTAATACTTGGGCTGAATGTCTGTCTTCCTCCTCCCAACTTCCTGGACGAGAAGTTTCATGCCAATAGCAGGGAATATTTGTAACTCGGAGTTGAACTGGGGGGTCCCTGGTGCTCTCTGAGCTTGGTGGTTTTCATTACGTTCGTTCGTCGTTACTTAACCAGGTAACATCATCAGTGATCTGGTCTCCCGCCTCCCACCCTTTGTGGGGCAGCCCTTGATGGTTTTGTAGAGAGGAAGGACTTGGTGCCAACTCCTGCCTCCTGCCAGGTGGAGAGAGATGCTTCGGAAGGGCCCACTGAGGTGGGAGGGGCACTTTAGGGAGGTTGTGCACCTGAAGGCCTAGGAAAGGAAGAACGGGGTGGGAAGTGGAATCCTTTTCAGCTGCAGGCACAGGATGTTGGGGTGTGTAGTCCCACACGTCTGGAACAGAACAGGTTTCCTGGAATGCTGTCCTAGGCGGAAGAGCTGTACGGTATTTTAAATAAGGTGCCTGGCTGTGTTTATAGGAGAGAAAAGGAGCTGCCTTAGACCCATAGTTCGATTTCAGTTGGCACCTTGAGCTGAAGGGAGTCTTTGATTGTTCTTTCATTTGTGAAAAGGAGGGAAAGGAAATATTGGCACAGGTGCCCGTGTCCTCCTGGACAATACCTGGTTTCTCTTTAACCCCCTCATTTTAAAAGAAGAGAAAACCGAGGTTTACCATACAGGATGCACCCCAATCCCAGTAAAGCCCCTTTCCCCCCCACTCCCACAAGGCCTTTTTTAATCTCACACTTGTCCCACAGTGGAGCCACCCAGAAGCCAGCAATTTCCTTGCATTAGGAGCTGAGGAGCTAAATATGAATAGAAATGCAAGTCCTCGACAGGGCGGTTTTCCAAGGGAATTATCTTGGCTGCCTTGGATTGACAAGCCACCTTTCTTTAGCCAGCCACACACTCGGTTGGCGGTACCTTTTGGACAAAAAGGGGGAATTAGGGATTCGAACTGGCCTTTGTGAAGGTTTAGAAATGAGCTGGAAGGAAGGCTGGGCTGACTTGCCAGGTCTTCGGAAGCGGGGAGAGCCTTGTTTCTCTTTACGGGGGGACAGGTGTATGAACCAAGAGTAAAACCCTGCCTGGAAGTCAGAAAGGAAAGAGAAAAAGGTGTGTAGGATTCTCGGCAAAATGTATTTCTTTGTGTTTCCAGATGAGGAGGTGTTTGGGAGAGCCTCCTGATGCACAGTGTGTCTATCTCACTTCCTGAATTTTTGTAATTAGTCCCATCTTGCTTGTTTCCTACCATGGAAAACCAGATTTTCCATAACTCTGGAATCCTCCGAATTCTAAAGTTTTTGCTACATATTAGGGATAGCTTCCTTAGGTTGTGTAGGATTTGACTCAGCCAACAAGATTTGTAGAAGCTAAATAAGCTGAATTCTCAATTTTGGCTAAAAGGGGAGAAAAGTTTTACTTTCTCATCCAAACTGAGTCAGACTGGAGGGATCACTGACAAGAACAGACAGAGATGACCAGAGGATGGATGTGTGGGGAGTGGGTGTCGCAGCCCCACTCCCAGCAATGATATTTTCCTTTCAATAGGAGAATTGGCTGTAAAACAGGGCAGGGGGCACAGAGGTGAGGAATCAGCTGTGGCACAAGGAAGGCCAATGTCAGTAAGTGAGTAGAGTTTGTTGTTCTGTCCCCAAACAGTCTGCTCTCCATCACTGAATTCCATCCCCTTCAACAAGGGAGATGATGATAAAGAATAGGTACCACTGATGTCGTTACCTAGTTTGGTAATGAAATGTCTGCAAGTAAAGCAGCAAGCTCAGAGAACACCAACTCTGCCCCACAAGAGGTAGCACGCAAAATCTTCTGGAGGGTCTGGAAAATTTTTTGCAAAAGTGGCTTTTTAATTCTCTTCCAAGAACTAGCCAGGTTTGACCCTGATTAACTGCTGGGATCAGCCAGAGTTGGCCAGGTGGTGGGTCCAGCTGTTCTGACCAGAAGTGAAAGGGAACGGCCTTGGATCAGATCGGTTGGATTCATCCTAATAGCTTGGGGGAGCTGCCTCTCGTGCCCAGGAAATAAACTCCCAGGGGTTTGCAGACATATTCTTCATCATCCAGGGTAGACCTCCTACCCCAGAGCACATTCATTTGGGGATTTTGCAAATGCTGGCCTTCTCTCTCTCTCTCTCTCTCTCTCTCTCTCTGTACATGGACATATTCCCACTCCTCCACCTCCCCACAGAGTTCTTGGAAGGGGCAGAAAGCCGGTGAGCATCTGCTGGGGTAACGTGGCCCCATCATCTCAGATTTGCCCCAATTCTCCCTTTACAATGGCTGCATTTTTTAAAAGAGAGAGAGAGAGAGAGGGAGGGAGAGAGAGAGAGAGAAGAAGAAGAAGGTGGGGGGAAGGGAAGGAACCCCAGTTTAATTGTCTGAGTGGGAGGATCTGGGAAGTGAGTGTGTCTCAGGCACCCCTTCCCCTTCCCCCCTCCCCAAAGCCAGCCTTTAGTAATTCAGTTTTAAAGCATGAAAAAAGGGAGTTGATGAAATTCCACTATCAGCAGTGAGCCAATATGCAAAATATCTCGCCCAAAATCAAATAGCTATTATGTTTTCATTTCCATTTCAGCGTATTTGCTTAATGAAGAATAGACAGATCAGGCTGACGGAGGGAGTCTGCGTGAAGTGATAACTCCTCTAAGGCTCCGAGCAATCCCGCAGACATGATGCCCAACTCGGCTCCCTCCCTCCTTCCTCCCTTGCACCTCTTCCACACTCTTCCCTTTTTCTCTCGCCTCCTTTCTCCCTCCTGTCTTCCAAAAGAAGAGCCCAGCTCAGCCCAGGGAAGCCGGGAGGGTTTTTGGGGTGGGGTGGGGCAAAGTCTCTGGGTGCAGATGAACGCAGACGGGGCCTCCGGAATAATAGCTTTGGGTTTTTCCCCAAGAAAAAGAGTTGCAGATGTTTTAGGTGGGCTCTGCCAGCCTTCCTGGGTCCTTGGTTGAGCCAGAAGCCCAGGTTCCACCAAGAGATTCCCCCGATTATGTAGCTAGTGGCAGTTTTAAAGTCATAAATTATAACTCATAAGCCTCAAAGGGGTTACCCATTGTGTGAAGTTGTGGTTTTTTGGATAAGCCACAGTTGGTGGAGTTAACTTATCAGGCTCAGCCATAAATCACAGATCTCTAACTGTATCCTGGCAGAAGGCGATGGGCAGGTCCAGCCCCAGACTAGAATAGAAGTGGTGACACCCCAGCTTAAGTAAATGGAGATATCAACCCCTGGACTTGATGGGAAGCTTTTGGGGGCACTCTCCATCCACCCCTTGGGCAACCTCTGGACCTTTTGCTGAATGTTTCTGCATCCCAAGTGTTTGTATGGTATTTCCTAGGCTTCCTTCATGGCCAAAAGAGCAATAAACCTCTTTTCCAAAATCAAAGTGAGGTTGAACACTGTAAGTTACACCAAACCGGGGTTTCCATGTTGGGCAGAGAAGATGGCAGAGGAGATGTTCTGCTCCACTTCTAATCAGCCCGTCCTCTTTCTTGAAATGGTCCTGCACCCTGTCCTGCCCCTTGGGCCCCCCCAAGGAAAACAAAGCTCCCCCCTCCCAGAAGCGGAGAGAACCCCCATGCATTTTTCCAGACCTCAACCACTCTCCGAGACTTCAGGCATGTATATTTACTCTGCGAGAACAAAAGGCCCATAATCTATACAAAGCAGACAACAATGAGCGTGAATAAAGAGCTTGCCAGAGAAGAAAAGGCAATTTATTCTAATGCTACTAATTTCTGTTCCAGCACAATTAAAAAAGCTCTGATAATATTCAGAAACAATCGCTCGCTAACAAATCGTTTCTCTCACTGTAAATTCGTTAGGCTAATTTTTTCTTTCACGCCTTCACGCTCCTGGTTCTGATAAAGTTAACCCTCTCGGTCCTTCCCTAATTCTTCTCTTGCCCTCTCCCCTTCCCCTGGGATAGAGGGGCAGATAGAGGGAGCCAGAGGTCAGAGACCCCCACAGCCCCTGGACCAGCACCTCCGCAATGAAGGTGGCTCAATCTAGCAATAATTGCTAGCATACCTGGCTTTGGAGTCTTCAGAGCAGAGACGGTCTTGGTTGGGATGCTAGAAAAGCTTGAGAAGATCAATGTTCCATATCCTTGGAATTGTGGCCTCCTGAGGTTCTGATGTTGTCTACAGAACTGTGGAGGATTGAAAAATGTATTTCTTCTGATTATGAGTTCCAGTCCTTTAAGGTTCTAGATCAGGCATGTGAGCCTTCTCCTGAATGATGAAGCCTGGTCCATCATGAGGTCTATCTGGAGGCCTTCTTCAACAGCATCCTGGCCTCGGGATCATTGTGAAGCCCCATGTGGCTTCCTCATCTTGCCCTTGCAGCCCCAGTTACAAAGAGTAGGGGGTCAGTCTTCCTGGCTATATCAGAAGCAAAGAATCCGCAAAGAAACAGAACCTCTCAGTAGCCTTCCCTGGCATGTATGTTTGGCCATAATTCTCCCTGTCTCTTGAGTAATATTTTTAATCAAGTCTTCTAGTGCCATGACCACAACTTGTGTGCCTTCATTCCCTTTTGACATGGATTTAGGCTGTAGCTCTAGGTCCTATATTTTGGCACTATTGTGCTGATGATACCCCATCAGTATAGGTATGATGCCAAGATAATGTAGGGGTCTTGCAATGCTACCTCTAGATCAGGGGTGCAACTTTAAGCCCTGTGGACTTCAACTCCCAGAATTCCTCGGTCAGCCCTGCTGGGCTTTGAAAGAGGCGGGATGGGCCCCTAACCTAACTCCGGTCTTTCCGTTGCTCCTGCAGGCGCCTTGGGTGAGATGGAAGAAGGAACTGGTGGCCTTCTGGAAGACGACTGCCTGTCCGAGAAGGAAGGAAGCGCTTCGGATCATGAAGGCTCCCTGGAAGGCGACTCTGCCAGCTCCCCATGTAGCGAGCGTGAGTGCCTTGATTTGCTTGCCCAGTGGTGGTGGGGGGGGGAGGGAGGGGGCTACAGTTTATCCATGCCCAGGAGCACCCTTGAATACAGATAGTCCTCAACTTACGACCACGATTGAGGCCAGAATTTTCATTGCTAAGTGAGACAGCTGTGAAGTGAGTTTGGTCCATTTTACGACGGTGCTTGCAACAGTTGTTCAGTGAATCTGGCTCCCCCATTGACTTTGCTTGTCAGAAGGCCACAAAAGGGAATCACGTCCAACTGTCATAATCACATGCCAGTTGCCAAGCCTCTGAATTTTGATCATGTGATCCTGGGAATGCTGCAATGGTCATAAGTGTGAAAAGTGGCCATAAATCCATTTTTCAGTGCCGTTGTAACTTTGAACGGTCACTAAACGAACGAGAGCTGTAAGTCGAGGGCTACCGAATTGCTCTTCTACATCTGTTATCTCCCCCCCCTCAATATATTTTGAATGCACAAGGTGTTTTCCCTGGAAAGGCTCCGATGGAGAAGTCCAGGCGGGAGCCCCCCGTTCTGACGAGAGGGACGGTTACTTCTCCGGGTAGAGGAGCAGCCCTTGAGATCCTGAGTTTCGTGAACTATGATCTCCTTGCCAGGGGGTGGGGGCAGGGGGGAATGGCTGCCAACGGCTGCCAAGCATTGGCGGCACAGGAGTCTTGGGCTCGCCAGTCCTCGGCTCTGGCTCAAATTACAATCAATACCTGCCCTTCTCTAACGAAGAGCTCGCCTTTTTCGTGGCTCCTCCTGGAAAGACGGCTGGGCGAGCGCTGACTTCGTACTTTCCTCCCCCCCCCCCCCTTTTTTTTTTCTTTCTCAAAATTTCCCTTTGCCAAAGGCAAAAACGAAAGAGGCGCTTTTCCTCTCCTACGGGCAGAAGAGACCTTCGGCTGCCGGTGGGACTTCCGGCTGGGCTTAGACGAGGGAGAAAGTTGCCCGGAAGGAGCAGGGCTGACCTCGCTCAGGGCTGGCAGGATCTGGCTGGGCCAAACTGCCTTCGAGGGGGGAAGGTTTGCTCCAGCGTGGCTTTCCCCATGCATGGCTGGACTAGGATGCCTAGCGTCCCTCAGGGTTGGCGTAGACAGCCGCTGGAAACTGGTTCAAGCAAAACTAGAGCTGAAGTCCTCGGCTTACAACAGTGGCCGAAGTTGCAACAGCACTTAAAAGGGAAAAGGGATCTTAGGACCATTTTAGACACTTACAGCCATTCTAGCATCCCCAGGGTCACTTGATCAAAATTTGGACGCTTTGGCAATTGTCCTGTATTTATGATGGTCGCAATGTCCCGGGGGTCACGTGATCCCCTTTTGCGACCTTCTCTCAAACAAAGTCAACGGGGAAACCAGATTCATTTAACAACCATGTCACTAACTTAACAACTGGCCGGATTCACTTAACAACTCTGGCAAGAAAGATCGTAAAAATCGGGCAAAACTCACTTAACAACTGTTTCGCTTAGCAGAAATTTCGGGCTCAATTGTGGTTGTAAGCTGAGGACTACCTCTACGGGTTTCTTGCCCCCACTCGGCAGCAGGACAACGACCTCTGAAACTATCTGTTCCCCCCCCCCCCCCTCTGCATTTCAAGACAGTCAGACTCCTAATCGTGATTATCTCTCAGACTTTTGATCCGTCAAAGGTCCACAGCCATCCCTCTCCTACAGATGTGGACATGCATGCACGCAGCTGGACCGTGGGAATCATATGCATTGCATGCAGAAAGCCTGAGCATGCATGCATTATTTATCATCCTTTGTCCAGCGGTGGAAGGGGGTGGATGTTTGGGCAGTGGGCATGGGGTTTGGGGCTGGGGGCTGGGGGGGAGGCTTTTGAAAGGCCAAGGGTCTTGCTCAGTGGCAGACTTTGACCCACCCAGCTGGTCTGCAGAAGGAAAGAGAGAGGAGGGGGTTTCATCAGATATCGAAGCTCTCTTCAAAAGCCCCTGGTGGGGGTTGGGGGGGGGGAGATGAGAAAACAAGGCAGCCGAGAGGGAGGGGGAGAGAGAGCCACAGAGAAATCTCTCCCTCCTGGCTGAGTGGCGCACCTGGCACTAGCGCCGTGATAAAAGGAGGCGATAGTGCGTGATAAGGAGCCGGCTGCAATAACTGTTGCTCCCGTGGTGCATAGCAAGAAGCTTTCAGCAGGATGGATAACAATCAATATGCCAGCCGCTTTGATTTATAGCCCCAAATAATGGGACTTTTATACCCGCCGATTGATTTGATATTAATCATCGCCTCCCCACCCTGGTCACCTGTATTAATAATAATCGCCCATGGCCGGTGACGTCAAGCACGCACGCAGACCCACCCACCCCTCGGTGCCATTTATGGGGCCCGTGGAGCAAGCGTTCGAAAGGCAAACATGCCCTGTGCCCACTAATCTTTCACACCACCTTCCGAGATCGGCTTATCTCAACCAGCAGGTTAATGGTGAGAATAATGGTTCTCGGTTGCTCTGAGGGCAGCCCAGGTGGAACTGGCCCAGGAAGGTGCTTCTCCTTGGGATCGACCAGCCGAGGGGAGGCCTGGGTTGGGGGCAACCCCAGCTCCTGTCCTCCCCAGGTTTAAGAGCTGAAGTTCTCTTGCTCCTGGGCCCAAACCTATGGAGCAGGGGTCTCCAAACTTTGTCAACTTTGAGACTTGTGGACTTTAACTCCCAGAGTTCCCTAGCCAGCCCAGCTTTGACCTATTGAGCAGGGGCCTCCAACCTTGGCAACTTTAAGTCTTGTGGACTTCAGCTCCCAGAATTCTGGGTGGCTGGGGGATTCTGGGAACTGAACTCCGTAAGTCTTAAAGTTGCCAAGGTTGGAGACCCCTACTATCAAGGATTCCAGCTAGACAACCTGAAAGCCACATCTGAAGGAGCTTGTTGTCCTGAATCAATTCTTCTCCTGTGCCCACCAAGATATGCCTGTATGGAGAGGGGGGACATATCACTGATCTTGTATTGGTGCATATGTATGTGTGAGAGAGAAGTGGGAATGGGCTTCCATGTGGCCATTCATCAGCTCCTTCCACCCCCTTTCTGGCAACTTGCTGTCTGCAGAAAGTCCTTTCTTCATATCTAACAGCTTCCACTCCTATTTTGGGAGCTTTCGGTTGATTCTCCTGCTATTTTAGCACTGCAGTGGTTTTGGAGATAATCCTTCAACTGATGGGGGAAGCTTGCATGATCGCTGATTTCTAAGAGTTCTCCCTAAATTTGTTTGTCGTTCTATTGTTTCGTCTTATCATGGTCATCGCTGTTTTTGAATTATTGTTAGCCACTCATGAAGGGGAGGAGGTGACCTCTGCTGTGGCTTTAGGACTTTTTGTGGCCCACAAAGTAGCCTTGATAAGCTTGTTGTTTTTGAACCAGAGGAAAAGCATAACAAGGACGTAACTCCTTCATCTTCTTCGTTGACCAAGTAAATACAGAAACCCAAACAAGGATTTTTTTTGTTCCAAATTTTGGTTTTGGATCGTCAGGTGCAAGCCAAAATGTTCTTAGGAAGCCATAAAATACAGGCAGTCCTTGACTTTTGAGCCCAAAACTTCTGTTGCTAAGTGAGACATTTGTTAAGCGAGTTTTGCCCCATTTTACAACCTTTCTTTGGGGGGGGGCTTTGAGTTGGCACAATAAGTTGTCACAATATGGGTGTCAAGGATTTTTCTCACCCTGTTGCTGTCTGAATCCTCCCTTGCTTGGCAACCGCCTGCCTCCCCTCACTGCAATTTATTTATTTAATAATAAATAAATAAGGTTCCAGGTTCTTTCCTGAGTCAAAGCCAAGTATCTGCTGAGGATATATTCGTCATATATTAAGTTTATAAGGCCACCCAATTCCATAAGGACCCCAGGCAGCGGACAAGGATAAAATCACCGCCCCCCCAAAAAAAGACACAAATAGTTTCACATCCATCTTTTTCCTGTGGATCCTTAAATGCCAGATGGCCCAATTCTTTCAACACCAGATTGTTAACTCGGGAGGTGGACTGCATCAATTCACAGTGAAAGTGGATAGGTGATGGTCTGTTAGATGAAGAAGTCGCTTGGAGAGCAGGTGAGCAAGGGAAAAGGTTATAGATAGCTCCCTTTTCTTTATAAAGGTTTTTTTTTGAAAATGTGGTCCCCATTCTATGGTTCCAGTCCCCTCTTCTAGGAAGTGATATCTAGGTTGGGAACCTTGCCTGTTGTTTGGGGAAACGAGCCTTATTTATCCTAGCTCCTTTAGTTCTATTTCCGTAAATTATTTCCCGCAGGAAGAAGAAAAAGATAAGAGGAAAGCATGGAAGAACTAAGGAGGCCTCCTATTGGGAGATGTTCCCATGTGGGCCTCCTTCATGGTTGCCATGCCTTGTCTGGAAAATGTCTGAAGACTTTGCTTTCTGGTGCCTACCTCTAAGCCTTTATGGGCACCCGGGCTGAGATGGAGACAGGCGAACAGCTGAGCAGGAATCTCCTGCCCTAACCAACCACTGATCGTATCTCCTTTGTGGGTTTTGAAGTGCAATTGTGATGTTTCCTCTTTTGATTTCAGAGGCCGAGTCCAAAGAGGAGAATCTAGACGAGTCGGATAAGCCGCAAACGCCAGAGACCGAGCTGTGGACGGGACCAGGTAAATCTCCTCTCTTCGTTTTCTCAAAAGCGCCCGGTTCTCGGCACAGAATAGGGCGGTGAGCATAAAAGCTGAATGCTTCGCTTGTGTGCCAGGTCCAGCTTGGTTCTGCCCCACCATGAAAGCGTACAGAATACCAAGCGTTGGCATGTGAATTATCTTCCAAAAGTGATCTTTAAAAACTTCGGTTAGCTTGCTTGGAACATCTCTGAAGGAAAGGGTCCTTTTTAAGAATCCACAGACTATATCATAGGAGAGCTACGCAGTAGTTAGGGGAGGAAGTGCCCCATCTGATTGCCTTCTCCCACTTGTTGATCGTGACCATCTGTCTCCTGTAACTCGGGGCACATCTGACAGCTCCCAAATTCAGGCCAGTGCAGGAGCTGTGACTCCCATGGAAGAGCCTAGTGCAGAGGTTTAGGAAAGCCGGATCCTGCTTCTGGTGTTTGGTTTGGACTTTAAACTGTAAGCTGACACGGTCTACGGGGAAACGGTTGGGCGTGCCAGTCTCCATCTGTTAACAGAACAGTAAGGAAGTGTAAAAACAGAAGTTCAGATATATGCGAGATACGCAGTGGCTCCGATCAGGGTGATGTGTACAGTAGGTTGGATGTAAATGAAGGGGCTCGGAGTAGCTCTTGTGCGTATCTCTCTGGCAGGAGATCCCAGGCTCAACTGAAGTCTGAAGATTAAGTAGGCCAAAGGGAGTGGAAGGGACCAGGGATCTGGTTGTCCATCGGCTGCTGTCATCACACAGCACCCACTTTCACCCAGCGAAAGGTCCTTGGCGATACCTGCTTGTTGGAGAGCATCTCCAAAGGTCAAATGTGGTCCCACCAAAGGATCCCGACACACCCTTAGTCTTGTTTGAAGGATGGGCACTCAACAAATATTGATCCAGGCTGGAAAATGACTTCTTTCCGTCTAGAGCCATAGCTGGACACCACAGGTGTCAGTAGATCATGTGGGCCAAGTCGCCAACACTTTCCCACACAGTTGAAGGCAGTTCCTTGTGTGTTCCTCCATCTTTTTCCAAGCACTTCAGGGATGTGTATTTGGAAAAGGGTTCTTTTTTACCCTAACAAGAGCCTTGGTAGTACAGTGGTCTAAGGCACCCTGTTATTAAGCTGGTTATTAAGACCAGATGCCAGCAATTACTGCAGGTTCGAATCTCGCCAGGCACAAGGTTGACTCAGCCTTCCATCCTTTCTAAGGTAGGTAAATTGAGGACCCAGATTGTGGGGGCAATAAGCTGACTTTGAATAAATATACAAATGTATGAAGGCTATTGCTTAACGCATTGTAAGCCGCCCTGAGTCTTCGGAGAAGGGCAGCCTATAAATCAAATTTAAAAAACAAACAAACCAAAAAAACAATAACTTTGCAAGATGGGCTAGCTAAGCCAAGGTCATGGAGAAACCAAAGAATAGCCTTACAGCATCTTAGAACTTCTCAAATCATATCATTTGCATGGATGAACATGCGTGCATTTGTACCCACATCCATGTGTGGTTCTTCCTTCACACACAAAAAAATTATGCTCATCTAAAATTGTTTACACACCTTATATACACAATGAAGCCAACAGTACCAGAGTTGCTAAAGAGAGAAGGAGAAGAAGGTTCTCCTTGAAACCTCAGCTCTGCTCCAATTTCTGCTCTTAGAGCTTGGATACCTTCCCCTCTTGTTCTTATGGGTTTTGTTTCTTGAAAAGAAGGGGGGGTTACGAAGAAGACCCCCCCCCCCGCTCCTCCTTCTCCTGGGTCAGTTTGGAAACACACCCAACCGGGAGATGGCCTGGAGACTCCTGAAGGCATATCTCCACTCTTTCCCCAGCTGTTTCGGAATAGCTTTTCTGCCAGCATTCCTCTGCTCTCCCCTTTTCTTTCTCCTCCAATTCCCCTCCCCACATCTGGCTCCTAGTCCAGGAAGGGAAACGTGTGTTCGCAGCCAGGCTGATATCCTTGGCTCTTCCTGGATGTGTTGGCCAGAAATAGATCTGCAGAAGGTCCACACCTTCTCCTTGGTTATCTGCTGTCTCCCATCCCTGACCTTTGGCCTGTTGGAGCCCAGCCTGCTCGGCCCCTGCTCGGCACTGGCAGTGATGGTCCTTGGCCCACCATGCCAGGACGTCCTTCCCGCCATATTGTAAGCATCCTGGAGGGCAACAGTTGGCATTCCCGGCCTCCAAAATGCTGACCGTGGGATTATTCTTTAACCAACGATTTATCAAGTCTTCCCTGTTGACTGGATGCTCAGTTTAGGACTCTTACCTTCACTGAGAATGACACAAGTGAAAACTATCCGGCTGATTTCCAGAAGGGAAACCCCACACTTTCCCCCCAGGGCCAAGTGCCACCTGGGAAAAGCAAGGAGAACGAATGGAAAGAGGTTGCAAAATCAGTGATGGAGGCTTAATGTGCTGCAGGCTGGGGAATTCTGGGAGTTGAAGTCCACACATCTTTTAATTAATTACTTCATTAAATTTCTTCCAAGAATAAAGTTTTAAAAAGAAGAAGAAAGAAATTGGGGAAAAAAATAGGGAGGGGTAAAGTGCAAGGGATAAAGGAAGAGAGGAAAAACAAAAGAAAGCAACTTTCTTTGATAGAGTGGCAAATTAAAATACATTCACCTTTTGATCTGACATTCAGTAATACGCAATGTTTCTATCATCAGAAACAATTGTAATTGTCACAGAATTAATACAGCACCTCTTTTGGTCTCAAGCAAAAAGTCCATAAGTGGTTTCCACATAAAAGTAGATCTTAAGGTTGCCCCGGTAGAGAAAGACTGGCATAGATTGTGCCACCTCGGTTCAACGGTCCCGGGGAATAATTCTCCACTGGGATCCCAAAAGGCCCCAGTTACTAGGAGACAAGAACCCTGATTATGTTCAGTCCCCCGTCCTTCCCTGCTGGAAAAATCCTGCCTAATTGGCCTGCTCCTTCCCCGAGGCTGAAAACGGGCCTAGAAAATGCACCCACCCACCCCACTCCCGTGACTGAACCCCGTTTGGCTCTTTGCATTCTTTATGTAAAAGAGATTTTATTATCTCTCCGTCCAGCCCATCTCCGCTGCGGTAATTGGAGTGATATTAATTTCTGTGTGGCTGGGAGTCGATCTTGGTCCGGCGATGCGGGGGTGATAGAGCCCTTCCTTTCTGGGCTAACCGCCGCGATAGGCCTTCTATCAGTCTCTACGCAGGCCCCGCACTTATCAGGAGGAGAATGGCAGAAAGAGGGAAGGAAGGAGGAAAAGGAGGACACTTGTCAGCAGCCTGAATTTCTCCTTTATCTGGCAGGATCCACCATGTGTCAGCTCTGGCAGGCAAGAGAGTCTTGGAGACACAGAGATCAGACAGGGAAGTTGGGCTTTTGTTCCTGAAACTAGCAAGTTTGGGCCATTGCAAACCTTCCTTCCTTCGTTCCCTCTCTCCCTTTTTTATCTCCCTCCCTCCTTCCTTCCTTCCTTCCTTCCTTCCATCCCATCTTCCTTTCATCTTCAATCACCCACCCTCCTTCCCTCTCTCCTATCCCTCCATCTCCTTCCTTCCTTCCTTCTTCTCTTTCTCCTTCCTTCCTTCCTTCCCCCCGCCTCCCTCTTTCTTCCTCTCATCCCTTCTTTCTTTAGCAGCCTCCCTCTCTTTGCCCAAGTTGGCAGAGTTAAGCAGAGCCTCCCTCAGGCCCAGATTCAGCAGCTTGCCAAGGGCCTGGAGAGCATCTGGAGAGCACAGGGGGACCAAGCATGCAGTCTCCAGTCCAGGTGAGATGCAGCTGCAGCTTGGCAGCTTCTTCCTTCCTGGAAATATGCACCAAGTTCTTGAGACTATGTTTGGGTGCCAACGGTGGCTCCCCTTTGCCCTGGGAAAGGGGCCACAGATGATTTGAGGCTGAGGACGGCCCAGACAATTCAGACCTGGGAAGAAACAGGGAAGTCTCAGAGTAGCTATGAATGAGGGGAATTCTGTGGAACCTCCACATTCAGAGGAAGTCTATCTCATTGGCGGCCAACCCGAAAACTCTCCTGAGTTAGCAGAAGCGGATGCAGGAGAACCTTGTTGGGTGCTTTCATTCTGGAGCCCCCTGCAATTCGTAGGGGCTGTAGACGCAGCCCACCCTCTCCAGCCCCAACAGCTGCAGCACAGACCCCTGGTGGCCGGAGATGGGCAGGGAGGGCAGGAAGACCCTTTGCTGCCGCTGCCCGCTGTGCCATGCACAATGTGAGAATCAAGGGGAACGAGAGGGACGGGATTATTTTTCCCTTCCCTCCTTTTTAATCTTCTGTTTGACCTTGCTTGCTGGAAGGGTCTTGGCTGTTTTAAAATTCCGATATGCAAATCTGTGATAGCTCCAATTTATAATCCTTAACTTGGGCACCGTTGCAGCAGATGAAACAGCCTCTTGCATTTGTTTCCCCGTCTCTCAAGCCGGCGGCTCAGCCGCTGGAGTCGTCCCCAAGCAGGGGGGGACTTTCCTGCTCCCTCTCGCCCCCTCCCCAAGTGGAGCTGAGATGGAAGGAGGCTCCCTTTGCTAGGAGCTGCTCAGCATCTTCCCAGAGAGACCCCAGCAAGCCAGTAGGGCTGAAAAGCAAACTGGGGCCCCAGTAGGCACCCCACTTCATTTTCCCCCTCGCTCTAAAAATTCCAAGGGGTTCTTGAGGACCAGCTGCTTGCCTGGGCATTGGGAAGAATAGAATAGAAGGGCCTTGATAGTACAGTGGTTTAGTGCACCCTGTTATTAACACAGCTGCCTGCAATTTACTGCTGGTTCAAATCTCTCCAAGGCTCAAGGTTGACTCAGCCTTCCATCCTTTCTAAGGTAGGTGAAATGAGGACCCGGATTGTGGGGGCAATAAGCTGACTTTGTATAAAATATACAAAAGGATGAAGGCTATTGCTTAACGCACTGTAAGCCGCCCTGAGTCTCCAGAGAAGGGCGGCATATAAATCAAATTAAAAAAAAAAAAACCATCAGGGGCTGATGGGGCTTTTGGGTCTGGGC